CAAACATTGAGACCGTCAGCAACTGAGACCATCGTTGAGACCGTCAATCGCTGAGACCATCACGCATTGAGACCATCATTTATTGAGACCATCATCTATTGAGACCATCATTTGTTGAGACCGTTATCCATCGAAATCTTCCATTCCACCATTTCTGGATTTCCTTATCAGTGGATTAATTATCATTATCAGTGGAGTTCTTATCAGTGGATTAATTATCATTATCAGTGGAGTTCTTATCAGTGGATTAATTAAAAATCATTGATGAAGCGAATAAGCTACAAAATAATAAGATCGATTTGACACCACGACCCTGTGAAAATAAAAATTATTATCAAGAGTGATAAATAAGAAATTCAAAAAAAAAAAGGTGAAGAAAAGAAAAGAAAAAAATAATAAATAAATATAAGCTAACAAAATCAATATATTATTCAAAAAAAAAGAAGAGAAAGATAGTGTCTGTGAAAAAATTGTGTATTAAGAATCAGTTGGGATTATTTCTTCGTTCCTGTAGAAGACAACTATAGAATTCTTCAAAGTGAGTACAATCATCCTTTTTCTCTAAACCCCGAATAAAAAATCCTTTAGTGGCGCTTTATCCCTCCAAATTTCAGTGAATTAAAATCTTTTAATAAAACAGTAAATCATCATTTTGTTTGGAGGCTTCATAATAAAAGTGTTAAAAACCGCGTTTGATATTTTCCCCATAAACTTTTATCATAAACCGCTTACCTTTCTGATACACCAACTTAAATATATATTGACCAACAATTTCTCTTTCAATTACGAAACAATAAGCATTATAGAAATTCTAATTTATTGTCTAAAATTCTCAGCGTAGAATCAAAAACCCTCAGCGAATTATACTTATGTTTCCTTTACCCCTTTTCACAAATACTCTCTAATCAAGCGTTCCGTACACTTGCAATTATTCTATCCAAATTAAATGAACGAAGCTAAATTCGAAATTAGTCAACTTCCAACATATAACCTAAGGAAACTTAGAAATAAATTACAAGCAAGTTTAGACAAAGTAACGGGTAAAATTCGTATTACTCGTCTTCAAAGCACATACTCTTTTACCAAAAACACAGTTTATATTAACCACCTTAGAGAACACATCTGGTATATAAATCAAATTTTAGAAGAACGTTTAAACCCCATTCTCCGAAGCCCTTTAGCCGTGAACAGACAATTTTTAAACCGTTCCCTAAGCCAACGTCTTATCACAAATCCTAATCCACAAAAATCTATCAACATGACACTCGTCGGACACTCTGATGACGAAACAACCAATAAAACTCAAGCCCAAGCTCAAGCCCAAGCTCAAGCCCAAGCTCAAGCCCAAGC